CGACATACGAATATTTTCGTACAATATCTAAATTACCGGCAGTTTAATATTTCATCATATTTTTATGTACCGCGTGTCATTGCGGCATTACTTGTTGTCTACTGTGAGACGTATAATATAATTTTAAACGTTTTAAAAACACCCCGCACCAGGCTTGGAATTAAAGTCAATTGACCTCATTTCCGTTGCTCTTATTACCTGTCACCCCAGAAAATACTGAAAATTCGCTTGAGATAATATACTCTTTAAAATACATTTATGCAAGTTTTATGTAATAAATAAATAAACGTTTTAAACTTTCATAAATTGCACTTTATTTACATAAAATAAACAAAGAACTCAAACATTTTTAGCCAACTTCAAAAAAGGGGAGGGTTATTACTTCGCCGGAATATTTTTTCTTTTTCTATGTATGCTACCGCATTGGACAACGTGAACAGATTTCAATAATTCTTTTTTGAAGTTAAACTCCTTTAGCGGCGGTTGGTTGGTTGGGAGTAAATTGGCAAATTCAACAGAAATTGCACACGGAAATGGTTGCGGCTGAAAAAGTGCTTCTTGAGTGTAAGCACATGGTATTAATTTAACAAGAACTTGCTAATAAAAGGTTAAAGAATAACCATTACAAGAATGAAAGTAAAGATGAGTACGTACGTAGATAAAGAAAAAGATAAAGGCAAATGTAAAAATAAAAACAAAAACAGATATGCATAAAGATAAAGGCAAAAATGAAGGTCAAGGTAAATTTAAAGACTTTACATATATAAGGGCAAAGGTGAAGGGGAATATGTAGATGAAGAAAATGATAAACATAAAAGTAAAAAAAAAGATAAATATAAAACAAGTAAGAAAGTCTGCAAACCAAACTTGACAAGGGATGACGGAAATACACGGGGTGTATAAATTTTGAGTAAATTAGCGTTCTTAAATTTCGAAATATCGAAGTTTCAAGCATTTCTGAAATTTACCGTTATATGAAAAGCGGCCGTAATTTTAGTCCGTTTCAATAATTTTCAACGTTTCGCTGTTATGTGGCAAGCACAATAAAAATACCGAGTTTGGTACAAATTGGTAGAACGGTTACCGAGATATATATATGAGATCATAAGTGGGTGGTGCCACGCCCATTTTCCATAATTTTATCTTAAACGTATTTCTTGGTAAAGAATTGTTGCAAGCATCAATTTTTAATAAATTAGCTTTAATATTTACTGTTTTATCGAAGATTTCATATTTCTCTAAATTACCGTTATATGGGATGTGGGCGTGGTTATTGTCCGATTTTTTAAATTTTTGCCATTTAGTATGCTGTACCAAGGCCAACAACTGTGCCTAGTTTAGAAGAAATTGGTGCAGCCGTTACCAAGATATGCACATGTAACCATAAGTGGGCGTGGCTACGCCCATTTTCCAAAAATTTATAATATTCTTATTTTTCGTCTGAAAATTATTGTAAATATCAATTTTGAGTGAATTATCTTCAGTAGTTACTAAAATATCGCAGTTTTCGTATTTCTGGAAATTACCGTTATATGGGAAGTGGGCGTGGTTACAGTCCGATTTCGCCCATTTTCAATACCAACCTACCTTGGATTAACGGAAACCTACATACCAAATTTCGTTGAGATATCTCAATTTTTGCTCGAGTTATCGTGTACACGGACGGACGGACGGACGGACGGACGGACGGACAGACGGACGGACAGACAGACATGGCTTAATCGATTTCTCTATTCATTCTGAGCATTTATGTATACATTTCTATATCTATCTCGATTCGTTTTGGCTGTTACAAGCAACCGTTATGTGAACAAAATTAATATACCCTTGTGCACAAGTGCGCTCGGGTATAAAAAGATGAGGATAAGGATACCGATAAAAGATGGAGATAGAGGAAGAAAGGTTAAAATAAAGTTAATTATAGAGAAAAGGATATAGATAGAGACACAGAGACGCAATCTGGGAACTATTGGGATTTTGGAGAGTGTAGCGATTCTCGGGACTTATCGATATAATAATCGATATTTCTATCGGTTTTGTAACCGATATTTTTGTCGAAATTTTTATCGATATTGTTATCGATTTCGCTATAGATATTTCGAAACTTATTAATATAAAAATCGACAATTTTATCGATTTTGCTATCGATATTTTCAATCATTTTGTTAAAGATATTGTTATTGATTTTGTTATCGATATCGTTATCGGTTTTTTTGTTCGATTATCTATCGATTTTGTTATGGAATATTTCTCGATTTTGAAATCGATACTTTTATCGATTTTGTTATCGATATTTTTATCGGTTTTTGTTATCGCTTATTAGTCGGGTTTGTTATCGATAATTTTATAGATTTTTTTATCGATAATTTCATAGATTTTCTAATCGATTTTGCTACCATTATTATCGACTTTGTTATCGATCTTGTCATCGATTTTGTTATCGATATCTTTATCGATTTTTTAATCGCAAAAATAGCGCTAACATTTGTTTTCCCATTTTTGTTGGCTTGTGTAATAAGTATTGTTAAATAGCCAATACCTGCACGTTTGCGCCGCCTTCAAACACCTTTCGAACTGTAAAACAATGACACGATTCTATTCTATGCATATCTATAATATGGGTATCGAATTTCAAACAAATCGGACCATAAATAAGATTTTGGAATAGATCGGTATCTGGTCGACCTATCAGAAAAAATATCCTATATGTTAATCGGGCCATAAATAAGACTTTTTCGAATAGATCGGCCCCTGGCCCACTTAACGGAAAAATGGATCCTAAATGCTTATCTAGGCAAAAGGCTACCAACGAACCAAATGCATTTTTTTAGCGTAGCTTGACCCCTGCGCCACTCCTTCTTCTAAACACGTTTCCAAAAAAGCAGCTCCCATTCGAATCGGTTATGAAACATAGGAGAAAATTGTTCCCAATTGATTCATGCTCCCAATGAATTTCACAATTATCCGAAATTTCCTAAGCTTTCGTCGAAAAGAATTCAAATTTTTCGCGTTCTTCCGGTTTTTCTGTGTTTTCCACTTAGAATTTTCTATTTTTCCATTCGAATGCCATTCCGAAGGAATTGCACACAAAATTCCATACAAAAAAGATCAAGTTTCGATTTTTCCAATTTCCCGGACTGTTTTCCCAAAATTTTCCAAAAAAGTTTTTAGCCCTATCGGCTCAACCGTTCTCAACTAATGAATTACTATAAATTTTTCACTCTATTTTTATATATATACATAATAAATTAATTATGTAATTTCATGAAATTTTCACACTTTTATGTTCATTTCCCTCGATTTCTGGTTTCTAGAGATGGTGATTNATTTTCCCGGACTGTTTTCCCAAAATTTTCCAAAAAAATTTTTAGCCGAATCGGCTCAACCGTTCTCAACTAATGAATTACTATAAATTTTTCACTCTATTTTTATATATATACATGATAAATTAATTATGTAATTTCATGAAATTTTTACACTTTTATGTTCATTTCCCTCGATTTCTGGTTTCTAGAGATGGTGATTTTCCACGATTGCCTAATTTTTTTAATATCTCGAATACCGAAAGAATTAATTGAATTTTTATTTTTTATTAAGTATGTATGTATGTAGATCGTTTTGGTGGAACGAATTCGAAGTTGGCAAATTAAATCATCGAACCCTTGTTAAGTACATTAGGGTTTGAACCGCAAAACCCACCCCTTGCGTGCGCTAATGTACACGTCAAAAGTATTCAAAAATGTCAAGTTTGGGTAAACAGGTGTTGGTGCATAGTATGTAGAAAGCGATCTCTCTTAAGGCCGGTCCACATAGAACTTTCGCGTTGCCTTTGGCGTTGGCGTTGGCTTGACAGTACGCACCTTAAAAGTATGCTTGCTACAATGAACGCTTGACAGCGAATGCTTGGGCCACTAAATTAACATACTAACGACAGATAAATTAATATTTCATATTAAAAACGATATTTCTTGCCCGCACTTGATTAAAAAGGAAAAATATTTCACATAATTATATTTATTTGCAACAGCTGACGAGCGACGCACGCGAAAAGTTGAGAGTTGTCCATCTTTTTGCTTTGTTTTGGCGTGGGCGTTGCCGAATTTCGGCTATGTGGACGGCTGCATTTGAATTCATGTATTCATAGTCAGCTGTTGAAACGACGCCAACGCCAACGCCAACGCCAACGCCAACGCAACGTCAAAGTTCTATGTGGACGGGCCGTTACTTCAATGGCACAAAGACAATCAGAACCTCTACTTCGTCTAAGTATACAGAGGGATTACATTGTTCATATATGTAGCTTGTATTAAGGAATATCGAGTATTTTGTCTAATTTTTATTAACGTCCAACATTTTTAAAGTTTGTAGGCATCTGAGCCTAATGACCCATTTAATCCCTTTTTCTTTGCCAAATTTTATGTCAGCATATATGTACATATACTTAGCTACTCGTCGTGACAGTTATAGGTCTCCTATTATGTGCACTCTTCGCGGAAGTAGTTTGGTCAACACGCGGCCATTGAAGACGTTGTACGCATAGCAATGAGATTGTGGACTTGAGAGCGCTGGTGACTCTTCATGCTAATGTTTCAAAACAATTGCATATGTGCATATAATAATAAATACTCGTAAATGCGAATTCGCTTTTTTGAAATTTATCGCATGCGTTGTTCAGGTACTAAACCAAAATTCGAAGCTAAAATTGAGGGAGGTAAAGCTGCGCTTGACACCTGACGGCTCCATTGATAAATGCACAATACGCAATACTTTTGATTGTGGCGATTACGAAATTTGGTAAAATGTCGCGTATTTGAAATTTATACGTACATGCTGGCAATTCAATTTAGGAATGTGCTTTACTTAGTATTGATATCTAATGCGTTTCTACAAATTTGGATGTAAATAAATAAACTTTCTTTTAATAAATATACAATATTCTTTTGGTTTCCTCTCTACTATTACTAATTTCATTGGTATCCTTTATTTCATTACAGTTTATTTCTCCAATGCACTTGCTAAGAAGTAGAAAAAATTAGAAGAGCATATAAGCTTTAATCCACAAAAATGAGCGCAATTGTGGGCGCGGCAACGGCGATAGGTGGCGCGGTTACCGCCGCCACAAGCAATAGCTGGTTTATACCGATGCTAGTAGCTGCCATAGCTTACTTTCAGTACGAAGAAATAATGGATCCAGAGTCCAGAGCGGAAGACTTGCCCACCGATGAAATACTAGAACGCTATGATTTCATAGTGATAGGGGCCGGTTCGGCGGGTGCAGTGGTGGCGAATCGGCTGACTGAGGTGGAGAACTGGAATGTGTTGCTTTTGGAAGCTGGCGGAGATGAGACTGAAATTTCGGATGTGCCGCTGATGGCGGGCTATCTGCAGTTGAGCAAAATGGACTGGAAGTACAAGACTGAACCAACGGGAAAATTTTGTTTAGGTGAGTTTCACATTTCTATAGCAAAACAATATTTATTTGCTCGTTGAAGTATTAAAGCAAGTTTTCCTCTTTCAATAGCTATGAATAATGCACGCTGTAATTGGCCGCGCGGCAAGGTGCTGGGTGGTTCTAGCGTACTGAACTATATGCTTTACTTGCGAGGCAGCAAAATCGACTATGACAACTGGGAGGCGCTGGGAAATCCAGGCTGGGGTTATCGCGATGCTTTGTATTACTTCAAAAAGTCTGAGGATAACACAAATCCCTACTTGGCCAGCACACCTTATCACTCCGCTGGCGGTTACTTGACGGTGGGTGAGGCTCCCTATCATACTCCATTGGCGGCTAGTTTCGTTGAAGCTGGCGTAGAAATGGGGTATGAAAATCGCGATTTAAATGGCGAGAAACAAGCCGGTTTTATGATAGCGCAGGGCACAACACGTCGCGGCAGCCGTTGCAGCAGTGCTAAAGCTTTTCTGCGGCCGGCGCGCTTGCGTTCTAATTTACACATATCGATGCACTCTCAAGTGACGCGCATCATGATCGACCCTGTAACGAAATTAGCCTTTGGCGTAGAATTTGTCAAGGATCAGCGCATATATCGCATACGCGCCACAAAAGAGGTAATCTTATCTGGTGGATCCGTTAACTCACCCCAACTGCTGATGTTGTCAGGTATAGGACCACGCAAAGAATTAGCCAAGCATCACATACCAGTCATTAAGGAGCTGAGTGTGGGAGAGAACCTGCAGGATCACATTGGCCTTGGTGGTCTAACATTCCTTGTCAATCAACCGGTTTCCATTGTGGAGAGTCGCTTTCATTCCATGTCGACTGTGCTGCAGTACGCCGTATTTGGTCAGGGACCACTTACCATTCTCGGTGGCGTTGAGGGTCTTGCTTTTGTGAACACAAAGTACGCCAATACTTCAATAGATTGGCCCGATATTGAGTTTCACTTCGTCTCTGGCTCCACAAATTCTGATGGCGGCTCGCAATTGCGCAAAGCTCACGGTCTCACCGACGCATTTTATCGCGCGGTGTTCGAGAAGATCAACAATCGGGACGCTTGGAGCATCATACCAATGTTACTGCGCCCACGAAGCATTGGCTCCATTAAGCTGCGCAGCAACAATCCTTTTGACTATCCATACATTTTTCCGAACTACTTGAGTGACGAGATCGATACGAAGACACTTATAGAGGGCGCCAAAATTGCGGTAGCGCTTTCGCGTACGAAAGCAATGCAGCGCTTCGGTTCACGCATTTCATCGATCAAATGGCTCGGCTGTCAACATTTGCAGATGTTCACTGATCCCTATTGGGAGTGCATGATACGCCACTATACGGTAACTATTTATCATCCGGTGGGTACGTGTAAAATGGGACCATATTGGGATCCTGAAGCCGTGGTCGATCCGCAGTTACGTGTATACGGCATACGCGGTTTGCGGGTGATCGATGCAAGTATTATGCCGAAATTGGTTAGTGCCAACACGAATGCACCGGTAATAATGATAGCGGAGAAGGGATCGGACATGATTAAGGAATTCTGGATTAAAAATACGATAATCTAATTGTGCAGGGGGAAGTGGAAGGGGGCTAGGTTAAGGTCTGCACTATTAAGTGTAGAATATTACCTTTTAATATTAAAGCGTTGAAATTCTGAAACATTTTGTAATTTATTTATTTATTTTCTGTATTTAAAAAATCAATTGTATGTAAATAGTGTAAGAAAAATTGAAATGTTTAGATAATAGCATGATGTAAAAAAAAATAATAAATTGTGTGTAATCTGAGTAGTACTGTTATTTCAGTTTTGGGCTTTTCAAGTTTTTTCTCCAATTTGAATGGTTACGAACATAAATATTATTTGAATTGATTCGTTCGTAGAAATTCGGATTCTCTGATAGCATGAAGAGGCGTCTCGTAAAATTCAGATGCTGTTCGGAGTCGGAACAAAAATTTCGGTCTACTTGTACAATAACATCACGAACTAAGACTACATACACAGGCCTGGGATGGTTTCCCCCTTAAAAAAACGAATTAACAATTTGGGTAGGTTTCAGATAGTGAGCTACGAAAATAATAATAATAAAAAAATCCAAACAAGAAAATCCCTTTTTTCATTTTTCATAGTGTTACCGCGTATTAGTTGGTTTTCTATGTGTATTTTTAACCAACTCTTAGGTTTTCAAATAAAAATTTCATTCTAACTAAATTAATTTTCGTTTTTGCATGAAAATTGTTAAATATTGTGAGATCAGGTCTCTCATTACACCGCCTGCGTTGTTTTCCCCTTAAAAAACTAATTAGCAATTTGGGTAGGTATAAGGTGCTAAGCAACCAAAAAACTAATAAAAAGAAAATTACTTTCATAATTTTTCTTGGCGTTACCGCTTATTACCAGTGTTAACATCGAAATTACACAAGTTTTTCTGATAGCTTCTTTAACGGTATTTTTAACTAATACTATTCGTTTCTAAGTAAAAATGCAATTTTAAATTAATTTAATTAAAATGTGCATGTCATCAATAAAAATAAATCTCGATATACTCAAAAAACAGAAATGTACTTTAATTTATTAATTATTGGAAGGGTGAGAAAAAAGTGAAATTTCGCAAGCCTGGGATGTTGATATCATTCAATTTATAGTCACCTTTAATTCAGTACATTTAGTCCGTTTTCCGCACCACGAAAATACTAAGTACTTCAAGCTTGGAAACACAAAATACGACTAACAATGCCTAGTGCCCAAAGATACACAACAACATAACTAATAAACCGGTACCAAATCGGATCCAAAGCACATACATATGTGCCGCAAGTACAATCTAACAAACCTTACTAAAGTAATAAGTTAATGGCACCCCAAATCATTCTCAACATGCTTGATATACCTCCAAAAAACTCCCCCTGGAGATTTCAAACGACAAAGGCCACAGTGCTATAAATCGTAGAGACTCTGCATAACTTACAACTATAATGTGGTAGCTGAATGACCACAGAACCTACTCACTAATTTTTAACTCGAATAATATTTTTTTTTTTTGTGAATGATCCTCCGCTCTCACTGAGTTAATCACATTAAATAGTGTATATCAGTACTGTTTTAGTGGAAGAGGACTTTTTTTGTAAAATGCGTTCGTTTTTGTTTCAAATCAATATGAGATTTGTCCAGCAGCTAAGAATAATATTCGCCGGTATTCGCTTTACTCTCCAAGTTAATCGATGTGAGTGAATCTGCCGTCATGACCTTGTTGGGCACAGTTACGGAGCGGCGTAAAAACTCGCTGAACATCGCCAGTTCTGATTTGGAAACCTAATAACCTTTTTTTTCTACCGAACATCAAAAAAAAACTGTGTGGACAACGATTTTCGATGCCAGAAGAAGGATTAGCGCGTTCAAAATATGTTTTTGAAGCTACCGCTTTCGGAGTGGCATTGGGGTGGTAAGAGCGAATATTGAAATGTGTTGATTACCTGTCTCATGAAGATTTATTAAAAAAAATAACACCGAAATACACCGTGTTTTCCTTGCTGGTTGCAATATTTTCGGAGCAGGCATTGCAGTGGAATAAACCTATAATATATATATGAGTAGGTATCGATACTTTGGATCCGATATTTTACAGTTATCTATCCTTTTTTCTTTCGATACAACTTCCAAGTAAAAGCACAGATACCTGCATGGTATCATTTTATCCCTAATGAAAAGTTTCTCGCAAGGCAAATACTACGTTGGAAGCTGAAATAACATTTTCGTAATTTAATTTTTTTTTAATAAAGAAGCATCGTATTGTATTATTTATTGTAAGCACACAAATTTCGTTGAGGTTTAAAAGAAACTTATTTGTGATGGAGGGAAATCAGTTTGATGTGAACGTAACGAGCAACAGTTTGACAACCGCTAATGATTTGACAGTTTGAAGGTAACTTTTTAGTAAAACAGTGGTACTGCACATAACGCTCTCACGTTATCTCATTTGCTTCGCATTGCTTTCCAANAATTTAATTTTTTTTTTAATAAAGAAGCATCGTATTGTATTATTTATTGTAAGCAAACAAATTTCGTTGAGGTTTAAAAGAAACTTATTTGTGATGGAGGGAAATCAGTTTGATGTGAACGAAACGAGCAACAGTTTGACAACCGCTAATGATTTCACAGTTTGAAGGTCACTTTTTAGTAAAACAGTGGTTCTGCACATAACGCTCTCACGTTATCTCATTTGCTTCGCATTGCTTTCCAAAAGCTATTTGTTGAAAAAGCTTTGTTTAATGTAAAAAGTACGTTAACAGCAGACGCTGATTAAAAAAGTTGATATGCTCTAAGTTGTTAACAAATGACCGCGTAAATGTTTTTATTCCGAAGTCATCGCTAAAAATATATGTATGTACATATAAACGTATGTAAAGTAAGTAGAATAGCTGCACTTAACCAAAATTTTTATAAATATTTTATAAATTTGACGGTAAATATTTAGAGTTTTAAATACGCTGCTATAAATGCTGTAGTCATTTTGTAAATAAACTGAAAGATATACATACATAAGTATGTACAAAAATAAAGAGATGACAGGTAGCGCGCAATATGTAGCAATAAGATAATAAGAGGGCGCTTACGCCGACGGTTGNTAATATTTTATAAACTTGACGGTAAATATTTAGAGTTTTAAATACGCTGCTATAAATGCTGTAGTCATTTTGTAAATAAACTGAAAAATATACATACAATGTATATACTTATGAGTGTACAAAAATAAAGAGATGACAGGTAGGGCGCAATATGTAGCAATAAGATAATAAGAGGGCGCTTACGCCGACGGTTGCAGCGCAAACATGTCGTGCTGATACGATAATCTGCTAAAAATAAGTACAATAAAAAAGTCTTTCATAAATTAACAAAAAAAAGGCTTTTTTGTTTGTAATCATTGTGAGATTGAAAAAATAAATTTCCACACATTTCACTGCCTTTCCGCGTTGCTGTCAAAAAATGCGATCTTAGTTGAACCTCAGCAGTCTGATTACACGCCTCGATATGATATTAAGTGCTGGCTTTTCACAATGTCGTCTCTTCATTTTGGGTAATTTATATACTTTACGCTAAATTAGATTTCAAATTTAGAGCAATATTAAGTTTCCTTTAACAGCAACCGTTTTGGTAGCACTCGCAGTGCTCGCGTTTATTGGCGGCACAACATTGGCTAGCGTAAGCAACGCTAATTCTGCTACGACAGCGTCACGTGCAGGTTGCGCCACCTCGGAAATGGGAAGTGCTGAAGGGCTCATTAGTAGCCTGTTTGCTACGATAAATTCAGCCAAGTGTGAACTGACCCGAGCTGATCAATGGCCGGCGGACTTTGCGGATCAAGTGCTCAAAAACGGTTTAGACGAGTATGACTTCATTATTGTAGGGGCAGGTACAGCGGGCTCAGTGGTTGCTAGTCGGCTTACCGAAAATCCGCGCATTAAAGTGCTGCTGCTCGAAGCAGGTGCTGATCCGCCGATAGAGTCGGAGGTGGGTATGTCACGAAGAAAATCTGTCATGAACACGGAAACTGAACAACCTGGTTATAATCTTTTACCAGCAATTTAATCTATTTTATTCTACTCTCTTCGCAGATCTTCACATTGAGCTCCAGGCTACATGGCAGCATATATGCATGGACTGACTATGCTGAACCCAACCCCAATTGCTGTCAGGGCATGCGGAGGGGTCGCTGCTATTGGCCGCGAGGCAAGATGATTGGCGGCTCTGGTTCGATGAGTGGAAATATTTTCTTGCTCGGCAATCAACAAGATTTTGATCGTTGGCAGCAGTTAGGATGCGAGGAATGGTCGTGGGATGAGATGCAGTTTTTCTACGAAAAGGCATCAATGAATGAGTCGTCTGCACAGCCAGTAGGCGAGTTAGTATTGAACTATTTTGAATCTCTAAAAGAGCACAATGAGCTTGCTCAGCTCATATTCAACGCCAGTCGCGAGCTGGGACTACCGTATATATCGGATTTGGCAAAGGGTACACGTGTTGGTTACACGAAGGCTATACCAGCGAACATTGCACGCGGCAGACGCATGAGCGTAGCAAAAACTTATTTGGGACAAGTAGCGAATTATCGCCAAAACCTTAATGTTATTAAGAACGCCTTGGTTACAAAGATACTCTTCTCAGCAGACAAAAGCCAAGCTATTGGCGTTGAATTCTTGCTGAGTGGTCGCCATCGCTTGAGCGCGCTTGTGCGCAGTGAGGTACTTATAGCAGCTGGCGCCATTAACTCACCTCAGCTATTACTACTGTCCGGCATTGGACCACGTGAGCACCTAACCGAATTGGGTATACCTCCGCTTGCAGATTTGCCGGTTGGCTATAACCTGCAAGATCATGGCATGTTGCCTTTGTTATTAAGTTTTGAACGTGAAATTGAAACTTCACCTGGCCTCAGCGATCCACAAAGCATTTCTGATTACTTTTTGCACCAAACAGGTCCACTTGCTGCTGGCGTCAGCATTATGGGTTTCATCAACACTAATGCTAGCAACAGTAGCTCATATCCAGACCTACATTTGGTCTCGCACACAATCATACCTCCAGGTGAAGCCTATAGCCTTCAATTCCTGCAGCTGCGCGATGAAATTGTCGCTGGTATTATGCGTGAAGCTAGCAATCGTAGCCTTTTGCAAATTTACGGTTCATTACTGCGTCCGCAATCGCGCGGCAGGGTGCTTCTGCGCTCAGCCGATCCTCAAGCACCTCCACGCATATACAACAACTATGCCAGCGAGCGCGCTGATCAGCTAACATTATTGAGTTATGTACGCTTTGTGCAGCGTATGTGTGCCACTACGGCATTTAGACACTTTGGCTTGAAGTTGCTACATGTGCCTATTGAGGAATGCGATCTACTCGCATACGACTCGGATGCCTATTGGCTATGTTATGTGAAATTTTTGTATATTGGCGCTTGGCATCCGGTGGGTACGTGTCGGATGGGCGCCGACGCGAACCGTCATACTGTAGTAGATCAACGGCTTCGCGTGGGAGGTGTGAACGGGTTGCGCGTGGTGGATGCAAGTATAATGCCAGCAATAACGAGTGGTAACACCAATGGCCCAACAACGATTATCGCCGAAAAGGCAGCAACTATGATCGAAGAGGATTGGAATCAAGAGCTAGCGTGATTGTGGGTGGTGATGAGATTCTAAGAATTTAGTTAGGATACGAATAAAAGTATTAACAAGTAATTTTTAAGCAAACAACAAACCCGACTTCAATTATGATATAAACATATATCATATATCATATCGGATCTAAACCAGATTAGTATGGGACCACCTCTGAGACACTACCTTTCCGCAAAAAGAATTATCGAATCGGTGACGTGGTCCAAAGTTATGCGGTTACATACATAAAAAAAAAATATCCCGACGATCTTATAACCTTCTCTTTTTTTGGAAGTCGGTTAAAAACTATATTAGAAAACGTGTACATATCGTATTTAGTTTTGCCCCTATGAGTATTTGCTTTTTACCAATTTTATGTGCTGCATTTTATTTACAATATATTGTAGACATTTTAATCACTACTAATTTATTGATATTTGTAGAAGTATTTAAAAAACAATAGACTACGGGCGTGATTCTAATCGCTATCTAATTTCAAATTATTTATCCAGGGATCCAGATTAAAGGGGCAATTCAGATTTTCTAAAATACTACAATGCCGCCCTAGTCATCTATATGTAATTTAGCTGGTAGGCGCTAGAAATATTGCTTTTGAATGTTTCTAGATGAAATACTTTTCGCCTTTACTCTCATGTTGTGCATCCACCCTGGAATCCTCGGACTATGTCGCCAGAATTTATGCGATGTACGTAGATTAGTACACAACATTAGTCTTGGATGCCATTTAACGACGCCCAGATGAGTATTTGTATAGAAAAATCCGTCAAATAATTTTAGGTACCTTATTACGATTTATTAAAATAAAACACGATAAGAAAAATTATTAAATTAAAAATTACACATATGAACTAGACCTATTTTAAAAGAATGTTACCACTCTTCAGTTTCGCTTTAGATATTGCTAACAGTAGTCATCACAATCACATTTCAGTATCAAGTAATACACATTTAGGATTCTGTAGTGGCCGAGAAAACGGATTATTCTCACAAATCGAAAATTTTTTCATTCTCATTCGAATTTTAATTGGTATTTGAAAATAATTATACATACAAACATATATCTATTCGATGCTATGTCATTGCACTTTTAATAAAAAATTAAAAATGCATTGTTTAAAAGGCATTTTTTTTACCTCGCTTTTATTAGCTTGGGATGTAACTATATAATATTGATGCGCCTAAAAGATGCAGCGATTTCCATTCGCAAGCTAAATACCTGATGACAGTACGAATTGGAATTGTCTTAAATTTCCATTCTCAAAATAACCTGGTGACAGTACGAATGGAAATTATGGAACGTGAGTTTTTAGCATTTTAAACAATAATTTTTGAAATAGGGCGTTCTTGAAAAGTTTTTTTGAGATAGGGCGTTTTCGAAATGAACTGAAATAGGTCGATCTTCAGCAGTCGATTTCGCATTGAGTTGAAATTTGGTACGAATTTATTGAGCTAACTTGACTTGACTGAGCAAAAAATGTGTTTTTTTTTTAATTTCCTTTAAATCTCTTAAAAACACAAATAACCTTAATGCCAAATATATCAAAATATAGGTATAGAGGCAAGCTATCTTTAAAAAAATTTAGCCAAAAAAGATGGCTTTTTGGAAAAAAAAAAAATTATTTATTTTTTATGAAAAGTGCAATGATATCAATATTTTTTTTGTTAAACAAAAGATTAAAAGCGGCCGATCGAAGGAACATCAGCTATAGCATCGAATAGATATATCATTATTTTTAAATACAAATTAAAATTCGAATTAGATTTTTTTTTTTGATTTATTTTTCAAAAGTGCATGAAACGTGTAATTTTGATGATATCGACAAATAAAAAAAACGTATGCCGTTATTTTCCGAGTAGAATTATATACTAAGATTTCAAGTGATTCGGAGAAATAGGTGCAGTCGGCTTGCATGATTTGAGATGACACTGATCATTGACCTTCAGTTTATTCAAAAATAATTACTGCTATTATGAATGGAGACAGCAAAGTTACCCGAATGCATTTAAGGTTGTTGGCTAGTTCATTAAACAAATCGTTTAATACATTCCTAAAAAACATCACGGATGGTGTGTGGAGTAGGAAGTGATCTATTGGATGGCGTACGGATGCAGCTATAGAGTGGTTGCTGGGTGATTTGGCTTGAGTCATTACCAGGGCCGAAAAGTTTTAAGCTTTTGCTTGGAATTGCTTATTTTGCTTGTTCAGGGTATCCAAGCTTAATTTTAAAGATCATGCCACCAGTGTCACCATTGCCACCAATGTTACCAGTGTCATCAGTGCAACCAGTGTCGTCATTGTCACCAGTGTCGCCAGTGTGGCCATATTATTTTATATAGAAAAGCGCCGCACTATAGGCAAAACACGAGTTTTTTAATGCAGAGTCTGTCATATATGAAACGCTTTTTAACCCTTTCAAGGCAGAGGAAAAAACTTCTCAATATGCTTTTGAACGTGCTTTTTCTCATCTTGACGTAGATATTAATCGTAGAAAAATTTTCCATAGTAAAATAATACTAAAAAAAAATAAATATAAAAAAATAAAAATATTAAAAATAAAAATAAACAAGTAATTTTTAGCAACAAAAAACCGACTTAAACTCTCATAAAAAAAATATATATATATATATATCTCATGATCCACTGATCGGATCTTAACCAGATTAGTATGGGACCACCTCTGAGATACTAGCTTTCCGATGCAAAAATCGGATCGTCGATATCGAAATCGGTTGACGTGGTCCAAAGTTATGCGGTAACATACATAAAAAAAAATAAATAAAAAAATATTCCGACTCCTTTTTTGGAAGTCGGTTAATAAAGAGTGCGTTGAAAACATATTGGGAACTATTTTGAATCTGCCTTGAAAGAGTTAAAAAGCGTTTCATATATGACAGACTCTGCATTAAAGGGTTAAATGCTGAACTTTCGTAAAGATATCGCCCAGTATAACCATTTTTGTTATTAAAATTTTTTTGTGAAAGCTGATAGTGTACGAGTTATTAGAGTTTAAAGGAAGCTTTTCTTTTTCCATTCTGGCCACCCGGGTACAGTATGCAACGTCCCAAAAATCGAGACTTAAGATAAAATAAAGAGAAATCTTTCAGAAACAGTGCTAATGGTGTATTAAATATTGTGTTATCTAATAGAATGGGAAAATCCAAAATTTCAAAAAAAGTGACATTTTGAACGGTATTTTGAGGGTTAAGTTATTGTTGTTGTAACTTCTCTATAGTTTTCCTACATTATATGATCATTTATCTTCACGATAAAAAAAAAATTAATTCCATTATCTCTTTTATAACCGAAGATCTACGATTTAAAAGAAAAACTCGTGTTTTGCCTATAGTGCGCCGCAGACGAAATCGGCCGCTTTTTATCCTTTTTAATATTTATAATTTTTTTGTTATAACACTGTGAAACACGCGAACCTCAGTGACTATTGTGTACAGAACCATGTTGAAGCTCTTATGAAGCGTAGGATCGGTTTTATTCCTAAACCGGATAGTTCCGTGAGAGAGCCGAAAAAGTGCCGACCTAGAAAACCCGCTCTGCTCTTACTTAAATCCGGGCAGCTACAGAAAAACTGCTTCTTTTTCTTACTTGTCTCTGCAACTTCTGCAATATTCATGGGAGAATATATATGTATATAATCTCGAAGCGTGCCCACCAAATAGCAAATGACCGGTTAAACAAGCCATGACCATCGAAATGTCCTCCCTTGACAGGTTTTTTCCCAGCAATTTGCGACCAAGTTATGATGATGTTATTTCTAATCTTTAATTTGCTGGTTGTCATGGGTATCCCAATCTCACCTCTGCTTTCACACAGTGGAAGACTGGTACCTTTCTTGGCTAGCTTATCAGCTCTTCGATTTCCGTCAATATCTGTATGCCCCGGGACCCATATGAGGCTGACCTAGAAGACGGTGTTAATATCGTTTAGAGGCTGCCACGTATTCCTGTGCAACCTTTGATCTTAGTATTACCGCGTTCATTGATTTGATGGCCGCCTGGCTATCCGAGAAGATATGAATCGCAGTCTTCGTTACAGCATGTGTATGAAGGTATACAGCCACCTCTTTTACAGCTAGAAATTCTGCTTGATACACACTGCAGCGGTGCGGAATTCGGGCAGATAGTTCCAGTCCAAATTCTTAAAAAAAAAAATCACCAAACCCAGTTGTCTAGCTTGGATCCATCCGTGTAAACATTTATTTCCCCCTTCTCCACGGTTTTGGTGTTTGTCACTCTCTACTTGACGGGATGTTTGTCTTGGAGAGCCTGTCGAAGGTGGGTTTAGGGGCGGAGTAGCCGATTTCTTGGTTATAACTACCTATAGTGTGAATGTGTGTCTGTTTATATTGTTACGATAATCCTAGTTTATTTGACGGATTTCCCAAAATCCCTCAGATCGTATCGCTGGATTGTTAAATAACACTCATCATAACAAAATTACAGTACAATTAATTTTATTGTACAACAAACACTTTACAATAGTTGTTTATGCAATAACAACAATTAACAATACTTGTTAAGGCAATTAAAATACTTTATAAAACTTGCTAACACAACTGAACCTTGCTTGCTAAATCGCAACTGACTTGTCTTGTAGCTTGCTAATTTGTAACTGACTTGCGCTGTAGTAGCGGCCTTATCTACCTGCGCTCGCGCTCATGGCAACTCTAGAACGTTCTGCCGTCTATCGCTCATTCTCTCGCTGTTCGCGTTATTCATCCACTTGACGTTTCGCGCAGTCGAATATTCTACGTCGTTCCGCGAACATTCTGCCATTTTCTTGTTGTTCGCTTCGCGTTGCCGTAATATTCGCCACACTGCCCTCGACCTAAGTCTCATTGTCCCGAACACACTCACTTGCTGTACCAAATGCTGCAAGCCTTTCCAATTGGACCACCTTCATCTTGGTTCTCGGTCTCCCAATGGGCAGGATTCGATACACTACGTCATTCAGCTGTTCGACCATATTATACCAACCTTTGCAGTTACGTTGTTGTTTGAGGTGAAGCCTTGCTTCCGCTGAAGCTTGAACAACAACGCCAAATCGCCTTCCTGGATACTCTCTCGGCTCGATGCGCTATTGGATATTACTTCCGGCTTATC